GCAATTATTGCTGTTTATTAGTTTCTTATAATATATAATACATTACTGTAAGTATTATAATGTATACACACTACCAGTCAGAGGTTTGGGGTCTGTAAGATTTTTTATATATTTGAAAAAAGGCTCTTCTGCTCACCAAGGCTGCATTTATTTGATCAAGCATACACAAAAAAAACAGTAATATTGTGAAATATTATTACCATTTCAAATAACTATTTTTCATTTGAATATGTTTTAAAATGTTATTTATTCCTGTGATGCAAAGCTGAATTTCAGCATCGTTACTCCAGTCTTCAGTGTCACATGATCCTTCAGAAATCATTCTAATATTCTGATTTACTGTTCAAGAAACAATCCTGATTATTATCAATACTGAAAACTGTTGTGCTGCTTCATATTTCTCTGTGAATTGTGATACTCTTTTCAGGTTTATTTGAATAGAAAGTTCAAAGGACAGCATTTATTTGAAATACAATTTCTTGTATTAATTTATCCAAAATAAAAAAAAAACTGATTATATGTATGCGGGATGTAACACTTCACTCAACTCACGATGCGATACGATTCACGATGCTGACTTCACAATAGGATTTTCTCACGATTCTTTTAACAAAATGAGATTTAAGACAAATTATAAACGAAAAGGTGCTCTTTTATTATTTCTCAGACAAAATGCTGCAAATTTCTGTGAAATTGAAAGTTTAAAACAAACCCCAAATCACATGAATAAATAACACATATAAATGAAATATCTTCTGTGCTCTTTCCATTTAAAATTTGAGACAACCAATGCATTTTAATCACGATCCAAACAAAGATGCAGCATGAGCAGTTTTTGATTGAAATTAGATTGTTTAATTTCGTAATTTGAAGCAAAAACAGAATGGTCTGACTTTAGCTTCGTGAAACTATACTACATAAAACCTCTGAACGATACAAAAACAGCAGACGGCCTAAATGAGAACGCAGGTGGCGCTTATGGAACAGCGTCAAGTAAACAAAGCAGCGCTGTGCTTATAAACACTACTATTTTATTCATTATACGCATTGTACTTTTTCCCCCTTTGCTACACTGATCAGGTGTTAGGTGTGTATCAGTTATACTAACACTATTTCTCCACTATATTATAGCCAGTGTGTAAACAGAACTGTTAGATGGAGTACAGTTGCCAAGGAGATGATCATTGATTCATTTCTTTTATTCAAATACCCTCCCAGCTGCCCTTCCTTCGACGTTAGAGCTGACAGAGCATTTAGTATGCAAACTAACTCCACACAACAAGTAGTCCAGCTTGTGTTCTGATGGTACGCTACTCTTAAAACAAACTTGTAAAACTCGATAAACCCCCCAACTCTTACATTGATGATAGCCATGATCCAGAAGGCGTAGGAAACGTTGGTCACCACCTCTCCGTCGGTGTGGAGGTGGACACTGGACACGTTGTGCACATGTCTGCCAGCGAGCTTGTTCCTCAGATGTCTTAATGATGTTGCATTGGTGCTGCTGTTCCCAATCACACAGCTGGTCTCAGACAGGAAGGGGTCAGCGATGAGGGGACTCACTAAAGCGCCGAGACCCACAAAGAAGTGAAGGGCCTAGAAGAGATCAGAGACAACCCAGACGAGAAGGAGAATCAGCAATGACAAGATTCTTACAAAGCAACAGTTTTTAGAGCAACTTTATAAAACACAGTTCTGATTGGATGTTTGTTTATAACTGTGAAACAATGGTCGTTTTGTGTCAGACCCACATCTTCAGGAAGAAATCACTGGTGCATATTAATATCCCAAGTTTACAATGGCAAGATGTTGCTTCCAAATGAATTATATTACTAACAGTTGTCAAATATATATATATTTTTTCAGTTTTCATTTTAGTATGTTATTGCCCAGTTTCACAGACAGGGCTTAGATTAAGCCAGGGTTAGGCCATAGTTCAATTAGGACATTTAAGTAATTTATCATAAACATGCCGTAGAAAACACATTACTGGTGTGCATCTAGAGACAAAACAAAGGCACTGATATATTTTAAGATCAGTCAGTGCACGTTTCTTTCAGTTGACACAGCTCAGACTTACATTTTAGTTTGGGACTAGGCTTAAGCCTTGTCTGTGAAACCGGGGGTATGTGTTTTTGTTATTTTTATTATTATATATTTTTCTATTTTACAGTTTAGGTTGAATTTATTTTTTTCTTTCCGTTTTAGTTTTTACTTATGTCTAGTTAAAACTTAAACTTATTAAGTTAACAATACTAAAATACTCAATACAACAATAACTTGTTTTAGTTAACAGTAATAGCCCTGGAGTTATCATATTGATCTTTTTTAAACAGAATAAACCACTCAAGACATGCACTGTAGTGATTTTTACCTCATGCCATATTGTTTTAATATGATTTTAAACAGAATCCACGTGTGAAAGGAGATCGATTATGTTTGATTAAATCTGTAACTCACGCAAATATTGTGCAAGTTTTTCTAATCATTGCTTTCTATGATATTATTATAATGTAACAGCAGTAATGTTATGTTTCACAACATTGTAATCAAACTATTTAACTGACGGAGCAAATATAAGCTGTCTATGAAATATAAATAACAAATATGAACTTCCTCAAGAAACTGGTAGAGCAAGATCACACTCTCAATTATGCTGTTGCTCTGAATAATACTGTAAGACTGGTGTGGTTTGCTTAAATATTTCTTACTGTTAAACATTTTCAACCCTTTTGTATACTAAGGGTGTATCTGCTTTTTACTTGGAACAGTTTTTAAAATGGTAGAGAAATCTATAGGATGACACAAACTGGATCTGGCCCAAAATATAGCTTTTTTTTTGTTGAAGATTTGCTGTTTAAGTATTAAGACATTTTGCATTCTGTACATGTGAGGGATGAATGCTAATGAGAAAAACATCAGCTCAAATGAACCTACATTTAACCCACCATATCAATAATCTCCTTAAATATAATGTAAATTGCTAAATTTAACACCCACAATCCTTCACTACAAAGTTTAATTTCTGAGAAGACCCCTTGGGTGAGTTTCTGTCCTCCCCAAAATATGACTAAACACTGGCAATGATGAGTTCAAGTGTAAAATCTGTTTAAAGTCATCATGAATTGTCATATAACGAGACTTAATGAGCATTTCTGAGTGAAAAACTAGCCTATTCAATGAGGAAAAACCAGTGTAGCATAGCATGGTACATGTTAATATAAAAATACATATAAAAACTATATAAAATTAACTAAGTTATGACATTTAAAATATTACAGAAGATTTCTATTTCAAATAAATGCTGCTTTTTACTTTCTACTCATCAAAGTATCCTAAAAGATGACGAGTAATGATGCTGAAAATCCAGCTTTTTAAAATTACATTTTTTAATATATTGAAATAGTAAACAGTTCTTTTAAATGCTAATAATATTTCACACTATTACAATTTGTTTTGTGTTTTTGATCAAATAAATGCAGCCTGGGTGAGCATCAAAGACCTCCATCCCCTAGCTTTTGAACGGTAGCGTATATACAGGTACATCTAAAAAAAAAAATGAATATGAAAAAGGTCAATATTTTTTGTCACTCATTTCAGAAAGTGAAACCCATATATTATATAGATTCATTACACATAGAGTGAAATATTTCAAGCCTTTATTTCTTGAAATTTTGATGATTATGGCTTACAGATCTTTACATTTTTTGAGATGTACCAGTATAGTTCATAAGAACTCCTTTTGTATTCTAGAGAAAAGTCAAACGGGTTTCGAGGGTGGGTAGATGACAGCAGAATGTTTTGTTTAAAGAAAATGATTTGTATACATTGCGTGTAAAGGCTTCATACATGTGAATGGCATATTTCAGCCACAGACTTTCAGACACTGTAATCATGCAAGGTAAAAGATACCTTTTTTTTATTTTTGGAAGTTACTGAGTAGATACTGACCTGCAGGAACACTGTGGAGTCTTTCTGGTAGATCTTGACCAGTTGTAGGTTAGAGATGGTGTCAATGATGCCCATGGCAAGACCAGATACCGCCAAGGCAAAGGCCAACAGGAGCAACTTATGGCACAGTGGGATGACGGCAAAAACCACAGAGATGGTGAGGCTGGACACAGCCAGCGCTAACAAAGAATGCACAAGCCTAAGAGAAACAAATGAGTGCGTCAAACAAAACAAAAAAACATTAATAGTACTAATAATCAGGTTTGTGACTGTGGCTAGTTCAGAATACAGCTACGAGCCTTCAAAATGGTTGCTAAAATAAAGTGCATTCTCTAGGGGTAAAACCTTTTATAGTAGAAAAAAGTGACTGAGCATATTTAGTAGTATGTTCTATATAAATAACATTTTTAAACAGATCTCACTTGAAACAGCCTCGGGTGAGTCTTTTGAAATAAAGTTGTTCTATGTGGCGCCTATGTGATGCTGCCTAAGGCGGGATTTTATTTCCAGACATCTCTGACTTTATTTTCACCTTGGCCCTTTTAATTTCTGTTTACATGCCTTATCAAATGCTGTTTTTACTGATAACAGGTGATACCAGTGGATATGTGACACTTGCTTGCTTTATACCTGTTTTCATGTGCTATCAGAAATGTCCCACTTAAGTTTGTCGTGTTGAAATGCGTTATTGTCAGAAAGAATAGCAATCAAGGAGGACACCAGGTTCATTCTTGTCTATTTCTTGAGGAAGTCTTATTATAAAGCTGAAATGTAATGAAGACATTCAACTAATATCCAATGGATTTTGCATCAAATATAGCATCTCATTTGTTGACAACCATATAAACATTACTCGCACTATTGCATTGTATACCATGCTCTCATCATCTTGCTAACAATTCTGACGCTTCAGTCACATAAACGCTGTTTTCACTAAGTGAAATACATAGAAAATGCATCAAATGGTTATTAGATATACGAGACTGTAATAGCAAGAGAAAGCAGAGTGGACGTTGTGGAAAAAAAACTAAAAGTTTCCCTGTCATAAATATGACGTAAGAAGCCATTCAGGTCCGGTTCCCATCTAGGAAACCCGTATTTATGATAATTCCGATAGCACGTGAAGGCAGTATTAAGTTGCATGCCACAAACTGTAAAATCAATAGAGCAGAACATAACACAGAGAATGTTATGTGGTTAAATATAGTCAGGACTGCATAACAGAGATAAAGATCTTTTACAAGAGAGCCATACCCAAATCCACAGAGATCAACACAGTAACGTGATTATCTGTAATGGGGGAAACAAAAAGAAAGGGACTGTAACACTGAGAGTTTCCAAATAAAAGCAATTAAAAGTGACTTGAGGGTAAAACTCGACTAAAGCACAAGAAAGCCACGCTGGCTATAGTATTCGCAAAGTTTACTTGTTTTTCAGTCAGTAATTCCATGGTAGAGTCTTAACTGTGGGGTGACCTACAAAACAATTAATACAACCAGTAATTATCAGCAGTTATGTGCTTATAGTCATAAAAATCACTCCGCTCTTCCTTGAATGTTGCTTTAAAGGAGCAGATGTTGTTCCTAACCTTTTTGAACCCACTTACAAAAATGCACTTCACAAAAGTAAATTTTTTTCATCATATCTTTATCTGTCAGGCAAAACAACAGGGCAGTGTATGTTTTTATGGCTTGCGTCCCAGATAACTGAGACAGCACGGCTTTAATGAGCACATGACCACTACTGGGATTTCCAGAGAGAGGCCACGGATGGGTTAGAAACCGATCAGTCCTAAAGAAATCAAATAATCGCTTACGATGATTATAGAGGCTGCCATAAACAGTTTACTATCATGCAGGATGCATTTAAAATGCTTGATCTCATGAGGAGGAAGTGTAAGATACATGGCTGGGAGAGGAAAAAAAACCAACAACAAAACTTCTGTCGTCACGAGACTAACTTAAGGCTGGAATACACTACGTGATTTTCCCCCCAAGTTACAGTCTGGAGAAGTCTGGGAGTGTGTGATCCTCAGTCGTTTAGTGTATGATGGCCAGTTTTCTTCTGCGACTGTTTACAAAGTCGGTAAGTGTATGATGCCCAGTGTTTTCAAATCTGTTCAGTGTAGTGTATTCCAGCCTTTACTCTTTCTAATAACTTTTAAGTACAACTGTATCCGAAAAATTTGATTTAAATAAGTCTATAGAGAGAAAGTAGAACATAAATTGTTACTTTTGAAACAAACGAACAAAGGTTACAAAAGTAAACAGTTAACCATCTTTTCTGCTATAGATTATAATGTTTGAAGCATATTTCTTTTGATTTGCGTAGGAATCCAGATTACCCAAAAAAGCAATATGGTTTTTAATACCAGCCACTATACAGTTCATTATTATATCAGTAATTATCATTATAGTATATATCATAACTCCTTCTAAAACAGCCAGAAACCTTGGAGTTATGATTGACTGATGATCAGCTGACTTTCTCAGAAAACACTGCTAAAACTGCACGGTCCTGCAGATTTTCTTTATTCAACATCAAGAAGATCAGGCCCTTTCTTTCAGAACATGCTTCACAACTCCTCATTCAAGCTCTTGTTCTGTCCAGGCTGGACTATTGCAATGCTCTCTTTGCAGGTCTTAGCCAGTTCTATCAAACCTTTACAATTAATCCAGCAAGATACATTTTTAATGAGCCGAAAAGAATGCACGCCACACCTCTGTTTATCAATTTGCACTGGCTACCAATAGCTGCTTGCATAACATTCAAGGCATTAATGTTTGCCTACAAAACCACCACTGGCTCTGCACACCTTTACCTATTGCGTTCTGCAAGTGAATGTCGCTTTATTGTGCCATCCCAAAGAAAAACAAAATCACTTTCACGGACTTTTAAAGTAACTGTTCCCTCCTGGTGGAATGACCTGCCCAACTCAATCCGAGCAGCGGAGTCCTTAGCCATCTTCAAGAATCGGCTAAAAACACATCTCTTCCATCTTTATTTGACCCTTTAACTCTAGCACTCTCTATTCTAATTCTATTCTTTAAAAAAAACTTGTCCCTTTTAGACTTGCACTCTATTAATTTACAGCTTGTTTTCTTAAAAAAAAAAAGAGCAAAAAAACTAACATTAGCTTTTCTATTATTTTTGTATTCCATCTATTTGTTTTCTTTTTATTTATTATACAATTAACAAAAGCAAAAAAGGCCTCTAACACTAGCTTGCTCTATTCTTTTTCTGTTCAATCTGTTTTCTTTTTATTTATTATATAATTAAAAAAAGTGCTATGTGTACTGCGTTAAGCTAACTGAGACTTGTTCTAGCACTTGCGTATCATTGCTCTTTTGTTGACTTTGATTGCTTCCATTGTCCTCATTTGTAAGTCGCTTTG